CATGGTTTTAAAGATGTGAACACACACACACACACTCACTCCCCCCCCCCCCCCCCGAGGCCAAGCCATTCAGAAAGCTTCCTAGCTCAGAACTAGTTTCAAATGTCAATAAGTTATGGTCCCAAGGAAGCAATAAGGGTTGGGTACGGTAGGCCTAAACTCAAGGAAGTAGTATACAGTTTTTGTCAATGTTCTCTTCTAAACAATACTATTTCATGTGGTAAAAACCCATCACAACTACAGGATGCTGAAGCCTTTATCGTGAAGACAAAAAAATGACAGTTTACCTCATCCAAGAGCTCCAAAAGTCTGTTCCGAATCTGTTCAGGGTTGTCAACATTTGGATCCTTGAGAAGCTGCCTGAACTTCTCAATCACCTGATAGAAAGCATTCTTCCACAGAATCTGATCCACATTCTGATTATCAGAGAACTCAATATCTAATAAAACACAGCGCTCATATAGCTGCAGGAGTTCAGCTCTGGAATAAAACACATGCAACTTCTTGCTCCAAATACACCACAGGAAAGGCTAGACCCAAGATTCAAGCTTCCTGCAAATTAACCACCTTCCTTGGCAAGAAACCCAGAATGCCACCAGGTACAGTTCTTATTCTAGTTTCCATTCTGCACAGTAAAATGTCACTCTAAAGACAGTTATGTCTTGGAAAAGTAGTTTTTCCCCATATGCCTTCACCTAAATTTAACAGCTGAAATAAGATCTTTACCACAAGTTATATTTTGTTCATTTCTTGGCATTCTGGAAGGTCTTTCCTTTTCCATTTCAAGATTCCATGTTCCCTTAACTTTTTTGAGGGGAAAAGAAAAAGTTGGAAGCATAGTCACTTCCAAGACTAAAAACAAAACCTCTGTTCTGTTCTTTTTCCAACAGCCCCTCCCTTAGAAAAATCACTATGAAAGGGAGAAACACCCAGTGGCTCACTCAAAAGGCTTCTACCATCCTCAGCCATAGGAGCTATCCAACTCCTTACGCCCCTCTCCCTCTAGCCAGGATGGAACACACCATACCTGAGCTGAGCCATCTTCTCCAGCCCCTCAGGACTGATGCGGTCCCTGGAGAGCAGGTTGCTGAGCTGCAGTTCCTGGTTGTCAGCCACTCGAAGAAGTCTATGTAGCTCCTGTTGCTGAATGTTCCTCATGTGCTGCTCCATCTCCTCGGGACTCATGGTGCTGGCAGGGAGAGGGCTACAAACATACTGTCCTGATGGAGTTGGGTAGCCTGGGTAGTAAGGCCCTGCATATACACCATTCGTAGGGCCCACTGGGTACTGTAGAGGGCTATAGCCTGTGTAGGGGTACTGGGAGGCAGGGCCTGGTGTCCGAGGGTAGTAATAGGGGTTGTCAGAATTTTGAAACTTATAGTAAGATGCTTGGGCCTGGCGGGAGTCACCCCAAGATGTAGGGCTGACTTCATCATCGGTGTCCAAGAAATGTAGCTGGGGTGTCTGGCTCTTTAGAGCCGGCTTCTGATCAGGATTGTTTGGGTCCCACAATCGGCGGGTGGTACCTCCACGGCCCCAGCTCCGAGATCCCTTACTACCAGTTCCGAATAAAAGCCGAGGCTGCAAAGGTGTGGACTCTGGAGAACCTGCTGAATTGACAGATAGGGTGGTATGGGCAGGCAAGATGAGAATGCCACGACCTCGACCCCGAAGTTCTTGTTTGAGGTTTTTGGACTCCTGCTTCTCAGAGGCTTTGCCCCCACTGCTCAAACTCCTGTCAGGCTTTATCCTATCCACATCCTCCCTGGATGACCTTACCATGGGGGAATCTTTGTTCATGGTTTCTGCATCAAAGGTGACACGAAGAGTGCCTCGATTCTCTTTACCATTGCTTTTCTGCTCACCTTCCCCACGGCTGGACCAGCTTCTTTCTAAATGTTTCTTCCTTTCTGAGCTCCTCCTGGGCCCTAATCCATCAGACTCATCAAGTCTGTCCTCATCCAAGGAGTCAGTTGAGGACATAGATACCTGCTTCTTTAGTCGTGGCCTCTCTTTGGTCCGATCTTGTCGCCGGCGTCGACAGCCATTGTCTGTCAGGCCAGCTCCCTCAGCACTGTTATTGCTACCAGCTGAGCTGGTGCTGCAAGTGCGGTAGCGATTCCTTCGCTTGTCTGAGCGGGAGTAGCGCTTTGCAGAACCTGGCTTTCCCTGTGCCACATCATCATTCATTTTCTTCATCCCCTCCCCCTTTTCAATCCGCTTTCCTTTTTCTCCCTTGGCAGCCCTGACTCTGTCACCATGCTGGCTCTTTTCCACCTCATCTTTGTCTGGTTTATTCATAACCTCCTCTTTCACAACATTTCTCCTACACTCATCTTCCTCTACTCTCAGTTGTTCTACCTGGTTGAGGATTTCTTCCTCATCTACGCGGCTAGCCAATTCTTTGCTAACAGTCTGCAAACGCCGTCCAGGCTGATAGATCTGCAGGTCAGGTTTCTTTGTTCTTTTGATAATTCTGAGACTTCGTTCCTCTTGTCCAGCAGTTCTAGAAAAGGACTCCTGCCCCCGAATATTTTCTGGTTCTACAGGACCATTTTGCTGTTGGTTGTCCAGTTCCTTGCAGACATCTTTAATATTCTGTGTACCATTTCTGACAGCAGAAGAATCTCCATCATTGACCATTTCATCCTTGAATTCCTCAATCCCAGAGGGTTCCTTGATTTTAGGTTTGTTCCTTAGTCGAGAAAGACCAGGCTTATAGATTTCCAGATCTGGGCGCCTGTTATCTTTACGCTGCCTGGGTTCTTTTAATTCCTTCATGTTTTCTGTGATGTTGGGGAGAGGGGTTGGAAGCGTAGAAGAAAAGAATAAAGGAGGAGGGAAGGGAAAAAAACTGTTACTCTGGCTATGTGACAAAAAAGCCAAACAAGAATTACACACATATCCAAAAGCTCATATTGATGGTCATAAAGGGAAATTTACACAGAAGCAGAAATTCTGGGTTTACAATATTTGTTCAGCAGCTGGCAAGGCAAAGAACTTAATCATGTTCGGTTACACGCTTGGGTTAGAGAAACAAAAAACAAACAAACAAAATCATACTCTCTTGAGTTATCTAGGTCATGGTCAGATCCCCGTAGCCCTAAACTACCTCATCATTGTCAAAATAAATGATCTCTAGTAGCTTCAGCATTAGACTGTTCTGTCTACTGAGCCCTAGGATCCATCTCAATCTTTTCTTTTCCTGCCTCAAACATTTCTCCAGAGTGGCTAAGTCCTTTTAACACAGCAGAAACAAAAAAAAAAAAAAAAGGAAGAAGAAAAGAAAAAGAAGGGTATGCATAGCAATCCATAGTCCTGGACACCTGTAGAGAAAAAAATTGTAACTTCCAGTCTGAATTTGGCCAGAACAATCCTCATCTTTGGCCAGAACAATCCTCGTCTTTAGGATACCAATTACCCAATCACATACCTCTTGTTGAAACACACAGGAAACAGTTCCTTTCACATTCTTCAACTCCACTCATGTTCCCCAACTTTCTAACAGCAGCCAGCAGAGTCATTCCATGGAAATAGCGCTCAGGCTATCATCATTAGAATACTGAGACTAACTGCTACTATGATGATGGAATATGAAAAGGAAAAGGTTCCATAAGGGAGCTTTCTGCAGAAGCTGAAGATAGGGCTGGGACATGCTTTCAAAACACCAAAGACTAGGACACTCAAGAATAAGAGTACAGGACTTAAGAAGCCACTCTCTAGGTTCCAACAACTTACTGAACAACCAATAAACAAGTATCTATTTTTTGTAAGTATCTCTTACCTTTATTAAGAGGGAAAGCCACTACAAGTACTCGCTAAACATTTCAGTGGGAAAGTGAAAGGAATTAGTAATATTATAGAGTACTCAAAATGGAATGCTATATAAAATCCTAGTCTGGTTCTATAAACACAAATGCAAACATGTCCGTAAGAGGGATGTATGATCCAGTAGGGTGGGTGTAACAGAAAACAAACAAAATCTTGAAGTTTAAAATACTGCTTCAGTACCTTTAGGAATTTAAAAGACTGCTTCAACAAGTATGAATAAAGGTAAAGCAATTTAACCACTGAGTTAAACCCCAGAAGAACACCTCCTCAGCAGCCTTTGTAACTTTAGTGAGGGGTGGGGGAATGCCTGAATAATCCAAATTCAGTTGACCAACAAAACCAATTTCACAGAGTTTTAGCCACCTGCCCAGAGAAGACACCTATCAGAGCTACAATTCTACACAATTTCACTCCCTAAACAAAGGAGAGGTGAGACACTAGAATCTTCTTGGAGCTTTCCTGGTGTGGCTGGAGACTTTAACTTGCATATAGAGCATTCTCTCTGATAAAAACTGTTCCCACACAAGACCAGGCCAAGCCAGAGTCAGCTCTCTGAGGTTCTGGGTCCCTCCGGTGGCGCAGCCTTCAGAAGCCTGCGTTGGGGAAAAAAGTTCAGCAGGGGAAGTTTCAGGATGTTAAACCTCTCCTCGACTCTCCCAGTTCCTCCACTCCGACGCTAAAGATATGACGGGGGGCAGGCCTGATGATGATTTCTCTAAGAACTATACACTCTGGGGCCTCCATCAGACCCCAGCGCCCACCCCGGTTGGCATCCCTTGTCCGCTGGGAATCCACGGGCTGGTGTGAGAGGGCTGGGGCAAAAGGGAACAGTCACCTTCGCGCGAGAAAGGGGGTGGTGGCAGGAATTCGGGCTGAGCTCTCACTACGGAAGGCCAAAGCTGGTGAGCCCGACCCCACACTAGCCCTCAGGCTAGTACGGCGGTGAGAAGAGCCCCCAAGGCCCCCGCCCCCACTGTTGGGGGAAGGGGCGGGGGCTCCGGAGAGCCGCGGACTGAGCGGGGAGGAGGCAGAGGAGGAGAGAGAGGCGGGGCGGGCAGGCCCGGCCCAGGAGCTGGGCGGCGCGACTCACCTCTGCTCCCAGCCTGCGGAGCCAGAGTGGCCAGGATCCCTCGCAGCTCCGACGCGGAGATCCGGACACGCTCCAACCCCTCCGCCATCTTCGCGGCTGCTGCTACAGCTGCAGCTACTCCGCCACCGCCGCGCGCAGCCAGGAAACCACGACGGACGGGAGGTGCGCGCGCTCACCCACCTCCCACTCTTCTCCCCGCCCCCTCCCTCCCCCAAAAGACGGTGGCCGCACTGGGAGGAAAAGCTTTGAAGGCACTTTCGGCCCCTGGAGCGGGGAAGTGCTGGAGCCCGAGCCTGGGCGCGCAAAGCGGGCGCTGCGCTTGCGCAGAGGTGTAGCCGGGGAAGGTGAGCTGAGGGTAGAGTTGGAGGCGCGGCGCTGGTGAGGTGAGGTGAGGCGAGGCGAGGCCTAGTCGAGGCAGGCGGGGTGGGGCAGGGCGGAGCGGGGCGTTCACGTCGGTGACTGCTGTTGCTGTGGCTGCTGTCGTGGCCATCGAGGACACTGGTGCGGGTCTAGGGCTCGGGTTGACGGAGACACCCCGCAATCTGGTCTTCTCCTGTCATCCTAGGCCAGGATCTCCCGCCACAGGCCAGGACTAGTGCCTCAGGCTTTTACTTTGGAGACGTTAAAGATATTTAAGAGTAGCTATTATTATCCCCATTTGAAAGATGAGGAAACTGAATCCCAGAGAAGCTTAGTAAATTGTCCAGGGAGTATCCAGATCTTTTTCTTTATGGCAAACGATGTCTCCAAGACTCCTGACTTAGAAAGTGAATTCCTCCTACCTCCATTATCCAAATTTGCTTTATTGTTTTTTGGATTACCCACATAATATGTGAGCAATCCCTACTGTAAGAACTAAAACATTATAAAAGTATATAGAACCTTCACTCTTCATCAAATCCAATACCTGATAATAAATTGAAGCGCTTATTCTTCAGGAATAAATTCGACAAAAAATAATACAGTACAGTTGGCTCTTGCTGACGGAAGGGGTTGTGCGGAGGTAAATCAGGAGATATTATAGTTCTGTTCGGGGATTTCTGGATTAGCATGGATTCTTGAAAAAAACTACTTCCCTGCACCTCAGGTCTCCATCCACCACCCCACCCCCATCTTTAAAATTTAGCTGGGCCAGAATACCAGTACTTAACGTTTTTTGTTCATGAGCTCCTGTTCAGAACTGTGGTGAAACTCCCTCTCCAAAGGCTGCCTCCCTCCACCTGTTGCTCCTTTTTAAAGGAATTCTAAAGTTCATTTGGAATAATTGGAGAAAAGCCAATCAATTTTAGAAAGAATAATCTGGGAAGAACTTCTTAACACAATGTATAACTGGAAAAGGAATTGACAGTTTGATTAACGGAACAAAATACAAAGTCTATAAAAGGCCCAAGCATTAACAGAAATTCAATTTTTGATGAATGAGGCATTTAAGAGGAAAAAGATGGTTCAGTCAGTAAGTGGTGTTAAAATTTGACAAAAGAACAAGTGGCCAATAAATATTCAGATAAAATGTTGAATCACGAGTAATGAAAGAAATATAAATTAAAGCTACTAGACATATTTCATTAAATTGACAGATAAAAATGATACAGCAAGGGTGAGGGAAAAAGCATTCCTTATAAACTGCTGCTGTTGTTGTGTGCCATCTAGTTGGTTCTGACTCACAGCGACCCAACCCTGTATGACAGAGTAGAACTACCCCATAGGGTTTTCTAGGCTGTAATCTTTACGGGAGCAGATCACCCTTTCTTTTCTCCTGTGGAGCTGCTAGTAGGTTTGTACCCCTGACCTTTCCGTTAGCAGCTGAGTGCTTAACCATTGTGCCACCAGGGCTCCTTATAAACTATTGTAAAGCAAACAAAAATCCATTGCCGTGGAGTTGATTCTAACTCATAGTGACCCTACAGGCCAGAGCAGAACTGCCCCATCCAGTTTACAAGGCTGTAATCTTTACAGAAACAGACTGCCACATCTTTCTCCTATAGAATGGCTGGTGGGCTTGAACCACCGATCTTTCGGTTACCAGGTAAGCTCTTACCCACTGCACTACCAGGCTCCTTTTATAAAGACTATAGGGAGTATAAATCGATATAATCTACAACCCTTCTGGAGATGTTTGGCAGTAGGTATCAAATGTCTTAAAAGAGTGCATGCCTTTTGATGCAAAATGCCATTTGATGGCCTCTATCCCAAGGACGTACGGAGAAGCACAAAGATTTTGTAACAAGGCTGTTCATTACATCATTATTTCTTATAGAAAAAAAGGAAATCTAAATGTTCAACAATAGAGTATTATGTAAAATTACGGTATTTTTGTTAAAAAAAAAAAAAAACTATTAAGCCACTTTAAAAGTTGCATAAATATATCTATTGATAAGACTCAGAATAATATTGACCAAAAAAAAGCAAGTTATCAAACCTGTCAAAAAAAGAGATTATCTGCATCTATATGAAAGCGTGAAGAGATGAGCACTGGAGCTTAGATACAATTGTCTTTGGGTAAGGAGGTTTAGTGGTTGTTTTCATGTTTTTTGCATCTCTATATTCCAAATTAAATTGGTTTTTCTATTGAACATGTACTGGTTTTATAATAAGGCAAACTAAAGAGAAATGTCATTTTTAAGTGCTATGATAAAAGAATGAAAAAAATGAAAGCATAATGCAGTTATTGAAAAATATGAAAACTATGAAGAAACTGAGCCAAATGTTTATTTAAATGATAGGAGCAAACGGATTTGATTTTCACCATCATATTATGTATGTATATTGAAAAAACAGAAGGAAACATGGAAAATGAACACAGTTAATTTATTAAAATGGTAGAATTGTGGTTGATTTTCTTTGTTAAATAATTTTTTAAAATAAAAATTTATGGCAGATTTTGAACCTAATTATTCAAGCAGCTTTACAACGATGAAAAACAAGGTGGAGACCAGTGGCAGTGCCAGGAGATGGTATGGGGGGCATTGGGTGAATCTTAGCCTTCCATAATCACCACCATTTACCTCCTATAACACTTTGCCAGAAAAACTTATATTATGCTTACTAAGATACTGAGGTTCAAGACAAATTCCCTTCTACACAGCAATTATGGAGCCCCCAGTAATGGAGGCAATTCCCGCATTAATACCAGAAACCTCAGATCTGTTCTTCTGTGTTATGCATTTTCAAAATCTTTCAATAAACATATTTCTCAGACTTTGATTTGACCCCTTCCTTATTCCTCGGTTTCAGAACCATGTGTGCTGAGTACTGCGTCTCCTTTGCTGATGTTAAAAAAGCTCATACCAACATTCAAGATCTTATCCACCTCACCCCAGTCCTAACAAGCTCCATTTTGAATCAAGTAACAGGGCGCAATCTTTTCTTCAAATGTGAACTCTTCCAGAAAACTGGATCTTTTAAGGTAACAATCCATTTTGCTAGTATATCATGTTTTTCAAATCCCTTTCACATATAAACTTGTTGATCCTCCTGACTACCCAGTGAGGTAGGAAGAAGTAAATTAATACCTTTTTATAGTTGAATAGTTGCAGAAATTTTCCTTTGTTCAAGTCCTGATTACCTAGCATCATTGTGTTGATGAGCCATTTTTATACAATCTAATAATTTCCTATAATTAGGGTGGCTGTATAACTTATCCAAACTAACATATGTTTGAAAATGAAAGGGGGAAACTTCTAACGTTTAGACTGAGACAATACACGTCAGCCTAGACTGTTACAGGCAGAATGGGAGTGTGATCACCCTTACATATACCCAAGTTTAGGCATTCACCTTGTGTCAACTTGCTATTCATTGATACCTTATTAAGGCTTTAAAGAGGCTTTAAAGATCTAAATCTAGCTAAACCCTCATAATAAGATCTTTTTCTACAAAATATGTCAGTGGCTTTCCTATGCATAAAGGAACAGTGTGTTGACTTGTTACCAGAATCTTCTGTTCATTAGTTGAGCTTGAAAATCCTTTCAGGTAAGAGACTTAAGACTGCATTTAGCACTGTGCCTGATAGGTATTAAGTACCTACTAAGTGGTAGCTTTAGGTCAAGAATCTACCTTTCCCACACCCATTACTTGAGAGCTTTTAAACTAAATAAACCCTCTGTTCTCTTTTGCCCTTTGCTTCTGCCATGGTTTACTCTTCATTCATTCATCATGCATTAAGCACCTATTATGTCAGCAACTGTACAACGTGTATCTACAGTAGGCCTTGTCCTTTATTCATAATTGCACGGAAGACAGTTTATCAACAAATAGGTTGATGAAAAATGTCTTAAAAGGATACAAATAAGGTGCAATGAAAGAGCAGAGAATGGAGTGCCCTATTCTGCCTTGGAAAGCAAGCAAGTTGAACCAGGTGATGTTTATCCAGGTTTTACAGGATGAGTACTTTTAGCCAGATCAGGAAGTAGGGAAAGAACTATAGGTACAGCAGATGGGTGTGAGCTAACCTGGCAGCAGGGAAACTAGAAGTTTAGCATGGCTACAACAGTGATAGAGGCAATAGATGCTTTTAGAAAGAATGCAACTTACAAGGAATTTGTAATTTGTCTTATAAAAATGGGCAGTCATTGAAGATGATCAAGTTTGCAGTTTTAAAAGACCACTTTAATAATAGAGTGGAGATACTAGATGAGGATGAGCCTTGAGGCAGGATCAGTTGAGGCTTGATAACACCCAAGTTGAGAAATGAGGGCCTGAATCAAGGTAGTGGAAGAAAATGCACACGAGATATTTAGAAGGTAGAATCAGTAAGATTTGATGATAGATGTGCAGTGTTAGGGAGAGAAAATGTAGAAGAACTCCTTAGTTTTGAAAAGAAACTTTTTCATCAAATTCATGAATTCCCCATCCCTTTTTCAGATTCGTGGTGCCCTTAATGCAATCAGAGGCTTGATTCCTGCCACTTCAGAAGGGAAGCCCAAAGCTGTTGTTACTCACAGCAGTGGAAACCATGGCCAGGCCCTCACCTATGCTGCCAAATTGGAAGGTAAGTAATTAATTTCTCAGGGTGCTGAAGAGAGGCAGCTGTGGGAAATAAATCTCCAGAGTCCCTGATTACAGTCAAACTGAACTGAAGCTTCTGTCCTGAGCTCTTTTGACTTGTAGTAACTAAACATATTTTTCCCTCCCAGGGATTCCTGCTTATATTGTGGTGCCCCACACAGCTCCCAACTGTAAAAAATTGGCAATAAAAGCCTATGGAGCCTCTATAGTATACAGTGAACACAGTGATGAGGTAAGGGGGCGAACAGTGATCAGTACCGCCTTAACTGCTTTCATTTGATGAACTTCTCTTCCTACCTTATTAGTAGTCTCTGTTTCCTTTTCATCTCTAAATGTTAGCATGTTCAGTATTTAATCTACACTCACTCATGACCTCATTAGTCTCCTGGCTTAAAATACCACCTATACTCTAATAGAGGCGCCCTGGTTGCACAGTGGTTAGAGCACTTGGCTGCTAACCAAAAGTTTGGCTGTTGGAACCCACAGCCACTTCACAGGAGAGGTGTGGCAGTCTGCTTCCATAAAGATTTACAACCTTGGACACCCTGCAGGGCACTTCTACTCTGTCCTGTAGGGTTGCTATGAGTTGGAATCGTCTTGACGGCAGTGGTTTTGGTTTATACTCTAATAGCTCCCAGATTTGTCTCCAGCCATGACCTCTCCCCTTAACTCCAGACTGCTACCCGACATTCTCATCTGGATGTCTAACAGGCATCTTAAATTTACTACGTCTAAAACCAAACTCCTGATCTTCCTGCTCCTCCTCATCTTCCTCATCTCAGAAAATAGCAACTTTTATCTTTCTAGTTGCTCAAGCCAAAAAATCTTGGAGTCATTTTTGATAACTCTCTCACATCCAACATTGAAATGTTAGTCCTACATTAGAAATATTCTCATAATCTACATACTTCTCACCACCTCTACCATTACAACCCTTATTCAGCATTTCTCACCTAGATTATTTTAGTAGCCTCCCAACTGGTCTCCCTGCTTCTACCCTTGCCCCATTAGTGTATTTTCAAAAGAGCAACCAGAGTGATCCACTTATTAAGTTAGAACTTGTCACCTCAAGATCCTTTAGTGGTACCCTATCTCATACACAGTGGAACCAAAGTTCTTAAAATCATCTAAGGCCTAGATGAACTGGCCCATTCCTGTCTTTCTGACCTCATCCTCTACCACCTCCTTACTCAACTCTCTCCTCCCACCTCCCCACCCCACCACACTCCACACCAGCCACACTGACTTCTTAGCAGTTCCTCAGTAAGGCCAAACACTTCTACTTTGTAGCCTTTGCACTTGCTATTACCCCCTTCCTAGAATATACTTGTAGAGATCCACAGGACTTGTCCAAATCTGTTAAAATGTCATTTTATCAGAGGCCTTTCCTGGCCACCCTTTATAAATTCTTTCATTTTTCTCAAGAGCACTTATCTGGCATACCATATATTTACTTGTAGCCCAAGTCTCCAACCTCCTCACCACTAGAATGTAACCCCCTTGAGGACAGGGACGTTTTGTTCACTGGCATACCCCCAGTACCTGAACGAAGTCTGAAAAATAGTAGATGGTCAATAGAGTTAAATGACTGAATTTAACTTTTGAATTCTATCAAATGCAAATCAAGTAAGCTAAATTAATGTTTTCTTTCAGTCCAGAGAAAATGTTACAAAAAGAATTATGGAAGAAACAGAAGGCATCATGATACATCCCAGCCAGGAGCCTGCAGTGATAGCTGGGCAAGGGACAATTGCCCTGGAAGTGCTGAACCAGGTAAAATAGCCTAGTTAATTCTTCCTGTTCAGATACTGGTATATCTGATGTTTGGCTATAGATTTGATTATTTTATATGTATATATAAAACTGCATATAAATAGGCCTGTTTATATTTTATATTCTTTTTGCTAAAGGTTCCCTTGGTGGATGCAATGGTGGTACCTGTAGGGGGAGGAGGAATGGTTGCTGGAATAGCAATTACAGTTAAGGTGAGAAAACAGCCAATAGAGGCCTCCCACTTCAGGCATAGAAGATTTTATTTTACATTGTAGTACATTGTGGATACTTGCTCAGCATTCCCCTCAAAATGCCATTCCTTCCCATCATCCTTGACACTTCTCTGCCTCAGTATCCTCTTAATCCATGACAACTTTACAGCACAAAAGCAGTTACAATGAGTGGTACTCTTGCAGTTCTTTCTTTGACTCTCGCCTCACCAACCTACTATCCAAGCCAGGGGCTACTCTTTTCCCAAATTACCAGCAGAACCAGATGTGATGCAGGCAACTGAAGGCCAGTATTAAACTATTTCTAAAGTGTTTTAGGATCATATTTTCATTATATCCATTAAAGGAAAGGCTCTTACTTGAGCTGCAATGTGGTAGCCCTACTGCCTCCTTTATTTTAGGCATGCAGGCAATGCTGAGGCTAGTTATAAAGTGTCTAATATTCCTCTTCCTAGGCTCTGAGACCTAGTGTGAAAGTATATGCTGCTGAACCCTTGAATGCAGATGACTGCCACCAGTCCAAATTGAAAGGGGAACTGACCCCCAATCCTTATCCTCCAGAAACCATAGCCGATGGTGTCAAGTGCAGCATTGGCGTAAACACCTGGCCTATTATAAGAGACCTTGTGGATGATGTCTTCACTGTCACAGAAGACGAAATTAAGGTGAGGCTCCAATAGGAAAGCAAGTAACAAAATAGAGCAACTTCTTAGGCAAAAAGAACCTTCTCCAATTATGAGTAGCAACTGACCTACTGGGGACTTGTATAGGTGACTTCATGACATGTGGAGGTACCCTAGATGTATTAAGACAAGCCTCTCAAAATAAGCAGAGTTGAGATTAAAAGAAAAGCCCTGCCCTTCACTGGCACACACACAGAGCAACCAGAAAACTCAGACTGGGCATATAGCTTCAACTGGCCTTTATAACTGAACCAACCAGGTCCTTTCCCTTTCTCCCATATGACTAATTCTTACTCCCTTCTGTACCAACAGTATGCAACCCAGCTGGTGTGGGAGAGGATGAAACTACTCATTGAACCTACAGCTGGTGTTGGAATGGCTGCTGTGCTGTCTCAGCATTTTCAAACCATTTCCCCAGAAGTAAAGAACATTTGTGTTGTGCTCAGTGGTGGAAATGTAGATTTATCCTCCCTAACTTGGGTGAAGCAGGCTGAAAGGTCAGCTTCTTCTCAATCTGATGCTGTTTAATTTATGCAAAAGATGGGTTTCAGTGTCTCTAGACACTTGGAAGTTTTGTTTCCCGGTCAGTGTCAAATTTCTATCTTCTCTTAAACAGTTTTCAAAATCCCAACTGAGAGTTGACATTGCAGTAAGACTGAATATTTTTTGGACTAAGTATCAATAGAAAAACATATATACTTAACTTAGACACCTTGTCAAGGCCAAGAAAAGCCGCCTATAAAAAAGGTTAGCAGACTTGTAGGGTGAAGTAGAAAATACACTTTGCCAAATCACAACCTGTAAGCCCCTGTCCCTAGAATGCTAATTGGCAGCAATAAGACAGAATCCCTTTGAATCCATTACTCCATGTTCACTTCAGGCACTGCTGAAGAAATCTCACTTTTCACCCAAGGTACTGGTTCTGGTACATATGGATCATAAGTCCATTTTGGGAAAACTCGTTTATAGAGGTTCATCAATACTGTGTCCTGAGATTTTAGCTTCCCATCAAAACTGCATTTCATGTGGCCATGGGTACCTAGAAAGTAAACAGAGCAAACTGACCAAATTGAAAGTAGAACATTTCAAAACAGTGGTCCTTTAACCCAACAGTAATTTAGTAGCACTGGGAAAATCTACACAAGGTCCCAAACCCCACATTCTCTTACCTAAAGGCTCCTTGATGTGTCCCCTGCGGCCCCACTTTGTTCTCAGTTCCACTGGTTTAAACCACAGCACATCCTCTTAGAAGGAAACACGGAAGATCAAGATGAAATATTTACTCACAAGATATAGACACACCTTCATCCCACAAAGGCAACCAGATCCTCTTTCTTCACACCTACCTCTACTGAAGAACATGTAACGCACTACTGCCATCTTAGTCAAAATTTTGAAAGGATGACCACTCAGAACAACCCTCTTGATGACCATTCTGTCTGGATCCACTGACAACAGATGGCCTGTAGCAATGAGGCTGTGCATTCCTAAGGAACAAATACAAACCAAGTGTTTAGGAGTCTATAAGCAAAAGCCTACATTTTATTGCTGCAATCCATTTCAAGACCTATGGCAAGATTGAAGAAATCTTAAAATAGAGATGCCACTATGCTGCCTATCCTCCTAGATCCATGGCAAAGACCACTAAATGATATCCCTGCTGAGCCTGTCCCCAGAACCTATCTGAAATACAGCACTCTGCACAGCCTCTACCAACGAGCTAACAATTTCAAGCAAGATAAAACCCATCTTGTCATCCCTGCCTTAGATCCACTGTGATGCTGAGACTTAGATATTTTTTGAAAACCATCATTAGCTTCTCCATACCATTTGGCTCCCAAATCTAAACAGGAGAAAACAATGTTAATCCTGTTAAGGTTCTGCAGGCCTGGTCACCTCTATGAACTTAACTCACCATTGCTGTTCTGTTTGAAAAGCAGCACAGATGCAGGAGGAAAAGTGATTGGGGCATACACCGTCGCCACCAGGGCCACATCAGCCATCAGGAATCTCTGAAATTTATGCTTATCTGCTGCCATAATAAAGGTTAAAAGAAAAAACAAAACTTTTTTAAGAAGCCATAAGTAATCAGAGGTCAGTCATTCAACCTGGAAGAGCTGTATCACTGCAACTTCTAAATCTAAGGCAGTGTGTGTTTCTTTACCTGACTAGTTCTCACTATTTTTTTATGCTTCAATACACTGGAAAGAAACAACCCAATCCTATCAGTGATTTTTCAACTGGAGGCAGAATCTTGGAGCTTGGAATATAGAATATATTTGGGGTTTCAGAAAGTTCTCAACAGCTCTTAGTCTCGAGTAAGAATTGGCAAAAACTTTTTCTGAAAAGAACCAGATAGTAAATATACGGGCCATAGTCTTTGTTCCAACTACTCAGTTCTGTCAGTATAGCAGAAAAGCAGTCATGGACAATCTGTAAACAAATCAACATGACTAGGTTCCAATAAAACTTTACAAAAACAGACTTCCGGGCAACATGGCGCTATAATCAGAAGCACCATGCTGTCCCTCCCCAGCAAACATCAGAAAAACTAAGTCAAACAGAGTCACACGTCAATCCTGAAATCCTAGGCATCAAATGAAGAGATAAAGAACTTAGCCAAGCACCAAATGGAATAAGAAACTGACCGAGAACAGAGAGCAAAGAGAGATACATGCAGAGGTCCCCTATTAGCTACCACAGCACGGATCTACCATCTTGGACTCCTATCGGAGATCAGCGAACAGGCGGTACGAGAAAGCAGCTTCACAGAGCTCCCAGCAGGAGACAGAACAACCGGTAACCAGTGATATAGGCCTTCCCACCCCCCACCCTTCTTCACCCACATTTAGCCGCCTCTGCTTCCTGCAGCCACAATCTCTTGGCCAGGAAGCAACAGCTTCACCCCAGTGTCACTTGGATTCCACCCACCCACACTGGCTGACTCCCTGAGTGCCCTTTGTTGGCTGCTGGTGTTGCTTTTTTCCACTTCTTTAGATTTCTTCCTTACCTCTCACCACCTTCCCCTCCCTTCTCTCAAATACCTGCCTCCTGCCATCTTTGCTTCTTCCTGAATGGCTGCAAAACACCACTCGACTCTGAAACTGCTTCCGGGCCGGTGCCGCCACGCTGGTGGGACCCTGGGGCTTTTTTGTTTGTTTGCTCTGATTTGTTCTGTTTTGATTTGTTTGTTCATTTTCTTTTTCTTTTCTCGGCTTGGGAGCCCCTTCTACCTAGGCAGTATCACACGGCTTCGAAGCTACTCCCTTACTCTGCGCAGACGCACAGGGACATTCCTGGGGGCATTTCTTTTTTGTTGTTTTTTGTTTGTTTGTTTGTTTGGTTTTCTTCTCTCTCTTATTCCACTTTAGTCTTTCTTCATTTCCAGTTTCTGGATTTATTCATTTTTTTTCTTTCATGCTTTTTCTTTTTACCCATTTCTCAGTCTCTCATCTCTCCACTCCAATAGCAAGCTCCCTTAGCACTCTTTTTTGTTTGTGTGTATGTTTTTGGCTCCTGTTCCTCTCTCCTCTCTCTCCTCTTTCCCATACCCATCTTAGCTCCACACATCACAATCTACCCCCTCCTTCCTGCCTACCTGCACCGTGCACTGA